AAGAGTGTTTCTATGATCCACGGGTTTGTTGTTAAACCCTCAGGCGAAATTCTACAGTCGTATATTATCGTTGAATCTCAGTACTATACCTCGTTGCGGAACATTCATTACTCCACGTTTTTTTATTATTTATTTTGAAAAAGAAAAAAAAAAGCCCTCGAGGATTCTTTGTGGCCTCGTAAAATCCTCTTGATTCAGCTCGTGTGATAGCTGATTTTTCCACGAATCGATTAAAATTACGTGCTATTTCACAGCCCTAGAATTATGTGACTTTTTAAGTCTCGAGCTGTTTCTTCTCTCGTGCAATTTCTTTGAGATCTCGTTTTCATTTGGCTCCTCAACTCGCTACCGGTCTTCTTTTGCTGTCCAGGTGGGTTTTTCGGTGGGCGGTGATTCCTCTCGGTCATAAATCATGGCATTATGATGCCTGAGCGAGAAAGATGAGCCGTAATTAACGAGTGTAGAAGTCATCGTAACACGTGAACTCTCAGGACTCGCGTTTTGGCGGGATTTGTTGATCGTAAAACAATCCGAGAATTATATCCGTCGAGAGAAATATTCTGATAAATTACCGGACAATTGCCGCAGTACGCAATGAAAAATTACTCCTGTGAAAAAAAATTGTGGAATTTCATTCTTGAATTTTTTTATTATTTTGGAAGTTACGGTTCTGGATTTTTGGCTTGCGATTCAGGGAAATTCAGGCGAAAAATCCGAGAGCTTCTCGAGAATTCTCTGGAGTCTAGGAGTGAATTCTCACATTCACAGTGGAAATCCCTGAATTTTCCTGTTCAACCCCTGAAAAACTCAGGATTATCCCTGAATATTCAGGAAAACTCGAAATTCTATGAATTCTTTCGCCTGAATCAAAGCTCAGGTGACTTTTCCTGAAAATACCCCGAATCACATTCAGCCTAATATCCCTGAAACTTCCCTTAACCCTTCTCCACAGTCTGTATTCAGTCTACATTTTTTTCAGGCCCTGAAAACTCAGGAATTTTTTCTTTTTCCCTGAACATCAGGAAAACTCTGAATTTCAGATTAAATCCAGAATTCTCCAAATGCAATTCAGTCCAATTATCCTGAAAGCTCCTGAATTTTTTTCTCAGCACTCAGGACAGCTCGTAATCGAACAGTTCACAGATATCATCTGCAATTATCGAGACCCGCGTCATCGATAATTAAAATAATCCCCCATTTTCCCTGAATACTCAATTCCACTTGTCTCCCAACGCAGTCCCACACTATTTGCCTGCGATATTCAGGTATTTACTCAGTCCGAGGCGTCGAGGACTTGAGTGGTAGTCTGAAGGATCCTCATCACAATATTTACCCACAACAGGAGTGAGTTCCACTCCTCGAATTACAATTCCTCATCTTCAGGACGTGGAACAGATCCAGTCGTGAGAAAGGGCTTGATAAATGCAGATGAGATACCTCCAGGGAAATTAATTATTCGAATTAACCTCGAGTGCAACAACTCGCCTCTGGGAAATTAATTATAATGAAATCCTACATGAAAATAAAATTTCTCTGATTTTCCTCACGTGTCTCCTCCACAAAACTCCCGATTTATCTCGAGAACCATTCACTCCACAGAAAAATGGTAAATAACTTTTTTCTGCGCAATTAAATATCCTATAAAAAATCTTCTCTTCAATTTTTCCCTAAAATCAATAGTTTCTGAAATAATCGAGATTTAATACGCGTATAAAATTTGCATTTTCTCCTTTCATTAATTCGGGGTGCCGAATTCATCAATTAAATTTAATATAAATTCCGTGGTGTTCAGGAATTTAAATTCTGGTTTCCGCTTTCTTGATAAAGCTATCAAATTAGCAAAAACTTTTGTCAATTCAAATTGTCCACAGCAAATCATCACTTCACATTAATTTCCGCATGAAAATCTACTTTGGAGAAAATGAGAAAACGCGACGGGAGACTAGTTCC